ATTTCTTTATGCTTGCGAGTATACAGTACTTCTTGCTGTTTCTTTGTCAGTGTTGATGTGGAGAGTGCCTGGTTTTCCTACTCTGGAACATACAAGATATCATAGTACTTCTTCAGGAGTCCCTTTCAAACCTATGATACTATATTTATGTGTGTGTGTGAATCATATCCATCTATCTATCTATATCTCTGGCTGGATGGCTCTTTGTCAGGAGGGCTTTGATTACATTTTCTTGCCCTGGGGAAGGGAGCTGGACTGGATGGCCTTGAGTATTTTCTGTTGGTCATGGGGGTTCTGTGTGGGAAGTTTGCCCCAATTCTGTCATTGGTGGGTTCCAAACACTCTTTGATTGTAGCTGAACTATAAATCCCAGCAAGTACAAACCCCAAATGGCAAGTTCTATTTCCCCCAAACTCCATCTGTCTTCATATTTGGGCATATTGAGTATTTGTGCCAAGTTTGGTCCAGACCCATCATTGTTTGAGTCCACAGTGGTCTCTGGATGTAGGTGAACTACAACTCCCAAACTCAAGGTCAATGCCCACAAAACCCTTCTGGTATTTTCTGTTTGTCATGGGTGCCCTGTGTGTCACCTTTGGTTCAATTCCATCCTTGATGGAGTTCAAAATGCTCTTTGATTGTAGGTGAACTATAAATCCCAAGAACTACAACTCCCAAATGACAAAATCCAAAAATTTTGAGTGAAGGACATACATTGGGTTCTTGTGTCCAAATTTGGTGTCAATTCGCACACTGTTTTTTGAGTTCTGTTAATCCCACAAATGAACATTACATTTTTATTTATACAGATGTGTATGTATGTGGATATATGTGTATGTATGTATGTGTATAGATATAATAGAATGAAGCATAGAATAGAATGTGTAGATAATTATTCTGTATGTATGTGTATGTATGTGTAAATGTATATGTCTATGTATGTGTATAGATAGAACAAAATAGAATGTGTAGATAGATTCTTCTGGATTTATTTTATGTATATATGTGCATGTATAGAGAGTTCCACTGCTGAACGGCTCTCACAGTCAGGAAGTTCTTCCTCATGTTCAGATGGAATCTCCTCTCTTGTAGTTTGAAGCCATGGTTCCATTGCGTCCTAGTCTCCAGGGAAGCAGAAGGAAGCTTGCTCCCTCCTCCCTGTGGCTTCCTCTCACATATTTATTATACATGGCTATTCATATCTCCTCTCAGCCTTCTCTTCTTCAGGCTAAACATGCCCAGCTCCTTAAGCCGCTCCTCATAGGGCTTGTTCTCCAGACCTTTTATCATTTTAGTCGCCCTCCTCTGGACACATTCCAGCTTGTCAATATCTCTCTTGAATTGTGGTGCCCAGAACTGGACACAATATTCCAGATGTGGTCTAACCAAAGCAGAATAGAGGGGTAGCATTACTTCCCTAGATCTAGACACTATGCTCCTATTGATGCAGGCCAAAATCCCATTGGCTTTTTTTGCCGCCACATCACATTCCTGGCTCATGTTTACCTTCCTGTCCACGAGGACTCCAAGATCTTTTTCACACATACTGCTCTCGAGCCAGGCATCATCGTCCCCCATTCTGTATCTTTGCATTTCGTTTTTCCTGCCAAAGTGGAGTGTATAGATAGAATAGAATACAGAATATGCATAGATTATTCTGTATGTATTATGTGTATACAGAATAATCTATGCATATTCTGTATTCTATTCTATCTATGTGTATATGTGTGTGTGTGTGTATGTATGTGTATACAAAGAATAGAATACAGAATAGAACATGTAGATAGATTATTCGGTATGTATTATGTGTATGTGTGTGTATACATATGTGTGTGTATATATGTGTGTGTATGTGTATAGATAGAATAGAATACAGAATACGCATAGATTATTCTGTATGTATTATGTGTATGTGTGTGTATACATATGTGTGTGTATATATGTGTGTGTATGTGTATAGATAGAATAGAATACAGAATACGCATAGATTATTCTGTATGTATTATGTGTATATGTGTGTGTGTGTGTGTATGTATGTGTATACAAAGAATAGAATACAGAATAGAACATGTAGATAGATTATTCGGTATGTATTATGTGTATGTGTGTGTATACATATGTGTGTGTATATATGTGTGTGTATGTGTATAGATAGAATAGAATACAGAATACGCATAGATTATTCTGAATGTATTATGTGTATATGTGTGTGTGTGTATGTGTATACAAAGAATAGAATATAGAATAGAATGTGTGGCTAGATTATTATTCTATTTCTCCTTGCAAAAAAAAGGGGGGGGGTTGTATTAGGACTGCCCTGGCGACCCGCAATAGCGCCTGGGAGTTGTAGTTCTAGGGAGGCGGCAGTCCCTTTAAAGCAGGGCGGGCCAAACCTTTGCGGAACTACCGCTCCCATGAGCCTTCGCGGGTCCAAAATGGCGCTGAATGCTCTTCGCCACTGGAATTGGGCCTGAAGGCCGTTCAAAACACCAGAAATGGAGGGGAAATACTGACCGGACCTCCCGGGTGAGGTGCTGGTCTTCCTCATCTTCCTCCTCCTCGGAATCGGCTTTCCTCTGGCGGAAACACTTCCCCGCCGGCATTGCGGAAGACAGCAAAGTCCGCGGCCTCCTCCGAAGGACCCCTCCTCGGCCTCAACCAGAAGGAAAGCGCTTTCTGACGGGCGGGAGCGTCGCGTGTGGGTGACGTCAACAACGTGCGCCGAAGCCACTTCCGCCCTGGCTGAAGTGAGGGCAAAACAAGGAAACAACCATTGGGCAAAAGAAGCCTTTGGGGTGAAATAGGTTTTGAATACAATGCCATAGGGGTCTAAAATGCCTGGAGAAACACAGAAGCATCTGCATATTTTAAAAACTAATTGTTATTTTGGGATTTCATCTGCATTTGCATAATATGCATACTTAATTAGATATCTTGCAAGTGGTCCCAAGCCTAGGTGCAAAATTCCAATGTTTCCTTAGATACACAAAAATGTGAAATATTGATCCTCATGGATTTTGGGATTTCCCCTACATTTGCATAAGCATAACCTGTATTTGCATAATATGTATACTTAATTAGATATCTTACAGGTGGTCCCAAGCCTAGGTGCGAAATTCCAATATGTTTCCTTACATACACAAATATGTGAAATATTGATCTTCATGGATTTGGGGATTTAATCTATATTTGCATAAACATACCTTTCATTTGCATATTATGCATACTTAATTAGATATCTTACAGGTGGTCCCAAGCCTAGGTGCGAAATTCCAATATGTTTCCTTAAGTGCACAAAAATGTGAAATTTCGATCGTCATGGATTTGGGGATTTCAGGATTTCTCCCTCTATTTTCCAGGTGTCAATCATTCTTGTTGCCATAATCTTGGTTTTTTTTTTTAATGTTTAGCTGCAACCCAGCTTTTGCGCTTTCTTCTTTCACCTTGATTAGAAGGCTCCTCAGCTCCTCCTCGCTTTCGGCCATCAAAGTGGTGTCATCTGCATATCTAAGGTTGTTAATATTTCTTCCAGCAATTTTCACCCCAGCCTTGCATTCCTCAAGCCCCGCACATCCTCGCATGATGTGTTCTGCATACAAGTTAAAAAGGTTGGGTGAGAGGATGCAGCCTTGCCGGACGCCTTTCCCAATCTTGAACCAGTCTGTTGTTCCGTGGTCAGTTCTGACTGTTGCTACTTGGTCCTTGTACAGATTCCTCAGGAGAGAGACAAGGTGGCTTGGGATGCCCATCCCACCAAGAACTTGCCACATATACACATATAAAGACACAAACTGCAACCTAGCCAAATGCCTACTTTTCTCCGGCCTGCCTTCTCCATCTCTCCAGTGCTGATGCTGCTTAAAACAAAAAGACCTTCCAACTAGACAGAGCATGAGGAGTAATCTGGTGATCCCTCCCGACAGAGACCCCTCCAGCCTCAGCTGTATTATTATTATTATTATTATTATTATTATTATTATTATTATTATTATTATGTCAATCTTAGACCATGCAGTTCATTTAATAGATAAATAATATTATCCTATTTTCCTACCTTTTTTCTCCCATACAGCCGTTGTTGTTGTTGTTGTTGTTGTTGTTGTTGTTGTTGTTGTGTCCAGTTAAGAGACTATGAAGTCCAATCTCAGAGAAAAGCAGCCTGAATTTGTTTTTCCCGCCCCTTTTCCATTGGCGCCTTCCCATTGGCCTGTTCAACTTGTGTTTTGGACTTCATTTCCCAGAATTCCTGGCCATTAAACAAGCTGTCAAGGCCTTCTGGGAAATTGTGTCCAGAACGCTTGAAGCCGCTTTCTCATTGTGATTCCGTCCATTGGCGCCGCTCCAAGCCGCTTGGGACTTCATTTCCCAGACTTCACAGCCATTGAAGAAGCCGGCGAGGGCTTCTGGGAGTTGGAGTCCGGAACGTTTTGAGGGCTGAGGTTGGAGCGCCGCCACAGAGGGTTCTTCTCCTCCTCCGCCGGTGTTCTCTTCGCCGCCTCCGGCCTTCTCTTGTCTCGGACTTCCGAGCGGCCGCCCTTCGCGGGAGGGAAGGGCGGAGGAAGGCTTTTGCTGGGCCTCAGGCCCGGGAAGCGAACCGAGGCCTAGCCGGGAGCCTAAGCACCGGCCTCACGTAGAACGCCGCCCCGGGAAAGAGGCGCCCTCCCGGGAAGGGCCCTTCAGGTATTTCGGGGGGAGGGGGGGTTGTACACTTATAGATTTATTTGTATTGTCTAATATAGTGAGTGTGTGTATATATCATTTGTTTTGCTTAATGTATTGCCTGTAGTGTGTGTGTATATATATATATGTATATATATATATATATACTTATATAGTGTGTGTGTGTTAACACAAATAAAAGTGAACAGCAGATATATGTATATATAAACTGCATGCAATATATTCATTCCAAATATATAAGCTGTGTGTATATATATGTGTGTGTGTGTGTGTGTTGTTTACATACATAAACATATCTATATGGGTCTGTATTATTTATTATATTAAATTATTATATTATATGGGTCTGTATTATTTATTTTTATTTGTGCTGACAGATTGTATGATATATATATATATATATATATA